AAGACCAGTGAGTCTTTGATGTGGTAATAAAGCCTATGGGAGGGGAGGAGGAAACCTGTGTTCTGCATTAGGTGGGGCTGCCTTCTGGCTGGAGGAGGTTTGTTGGAAGGGAAAGGAAGATTCCGATTTAGAGAGGTGATCACAGCTATTCACATCCAAGGACGCCAGAGAGGAGGCCTCTTCTTTGTCACTCATCTGACTGTTTTTGAGGCAATATTGATGGAGCTTCCTGGCCCCTCTTCTGTGAGTGTCAGGCTTTGTGACTTGAGTGGGCTGGAAGGGACCTCGTGGGTACAGATTCTGTGGAGCTGGGTAATCCTGATGCTAAGACAACATCAGCATCATCACTGGCCAGATTTTTAAAAATTCTCTGTTTAGAATATTGGGGCCATGGATGGGCCAAGGTGGGAAAATATCTTTGGAACATCCAGCAGGCATTTAAACTTGATCTCTTGGGCCCCAGGGTCCCAGGGGAGCGCCCTTGAGGAAGGGGGGCTGTGATGTGACGTAAAGAACATTGAGGGGGTGTATGGGCTGTCAGACAGGTGATTAGCGAAAAGAGAAGCTGGATTCAGCACGTCTAAAACTGAACACCTTGTTCCTCCCCCTGAACTCTCCCCTCTTCCAGACATCCCTGTTTCTGTGGAAGGAAATAGCATCCTTCCAGTGTCTCGGCATTATGGTCTTGGTGTTATCTTGGACCTCTCGTGGCCCCTCACCCCGCATAGCCAAGCGGGTGTTCACTGCCCATCTCTGCTCCCACGGCCACCACTCTGGGGGCAGGCCCTCCTTACCTTTTGCCTGTATTACTGCAGCAGCCTCCCTGTTGGTCTCCCTACCTGCCCCTCACCACTTTTAGGCTGTTCAGTATCCCCAAAGTCATTTCCCTTCACCATAGATCTGACCACGTGACTCCCCACCCAGCCAGCCCTGGTGGCCTCGTATTGCCTGGAGAATGAAGTGCGCTATCTGGGCTCCGCTTTTAGAACCCTTCCCAGCCTGACCCCACCTAGCTGACGGCCCCTTCCTCACAGCCACAGGCCATCCCCACCTCAGGCCTCCCTCCGCCTGTCCTCAGCTGCAGGAGCCTTGTCTTTGATGACTTTGTCTGGGCGTGTAGATAACAATAGACGTGCATTTCTTAACTTTGTGAAGTAAATACTTGTTGTCTCTACCATTAGAATGTAGGCTGGTTGTGAGTTTGCTTCTTGGCTTTGTACCCTGGGGCCTCACACGGTGTTGCTGATTGGCTCCTTAGCAGACTCCAGACTCTCCAGTCTTTGTGTGCAAGCTCCACCAGGTTGGAGTAAGGGGGCCATGTGAAGACACAAACAGGGAAGCTTTGGGGCAAAGAACTTCCTTACCATATGATGGGAGGTGGGAGACTAATGTAAAAACACACAGCTGAGGGTGGTTTCTTATGGTTGAAAAACTCCCGCTCTGCTGAGGAGCGATGAATAATAATTCCTCTTGGGAGAACATAACTCAGGAAGACTTCACGGATGAAGGGAACTTTGAGGAAGTCTTTGAGGGCAGGGAGGAACATGAATTAATGGAGAGGAAAGGGAATGGGCCAAGAATGATAAAACAGCTGCAGAGCCTTGTTATTCTTGGTATGTTAATTATACTTTGGGGTCAAGTTAAGGGAGTGAGATTAGGGAATAACACGGCACTGCCATCCGTGGGGCTTTTGAGGAGTGATAACAAACAGACCTTTCCTGAAACAATACAAGGGCAGGGAGAGGTTGGGGGTCAGAGGGAGGCCATTGAGTTTTGTTAGGAAAATAGGACTCTGCTTAACGTCTGAATGCCTGGCCTTCCTGGACTGTGCGGATGTCAGGGATCTAAGGAGGAGAGAGTGGGTTCTAGGACCAGTGCTGGGTAATGAGAACAAAGCAGTGGTGCGTGATAGTGTTCTCATGTGATTGGCCTCCCCGGCCCCCTCCCCCCAGAGATCCAGCAGCCGACCCTCATGGGTTTGTCTCCTAGATGCTGGGTTTGTATTTGACCAAGGGAACAAGCCCATTTGCTGCTCAAACTCTGTTATGATTTGAAGACAAAAAAAACCTCACCCATTCTCAGCCAAGACAAGCAGCTCCCTCTTCCAGCATTGTTCTCCCTCATGTGCCTGGTGCCAGGCTGGGACCCAGGGTAATCTTCCTCAGCAGGGGCAGACTCTGCATTCCATTGTCCCCACCACCAGCCGGATCCGGGTGTTTACATTGATGGGGAAGGCTCTCCTTAGATCTCGGTCCAAAAGGCATGCACGCTGTGATGTTCTGGTTCTCTTCATCATCCTTCCTGCTTTTCAGCTCCTCCTTCTCCCCCAATGCAAACACACACACACACATAGATGGAGACAGAGAGAGTGTATTTTCATTCAAAAAGTGCATAAAACATTTTCTAGGTAGAAACTCCTTAGTAATGTCTCTCCCAAGGCATTGTGGGACGCCTGGAAAGAAAGCTAGATTCAGACTCAGTGTACCTGGGTTCAGACATTGCTTTGGATGCTTATTACTGCCTCTGTGACCCTGGATCAGTCAGTTAACATCTCTGGGCCTCAGTTTTCTCATCTGTAAAATGAGGGGGTTGGCCTCAGTGGCTTCAGGAGTTACTGCTAGCCCTGCAAATCTATGTGCTTATCAACTCGGCAGAGATTTGTTAACCAGACTGTTAAATCACTGAGAAATACCCAAAAGAGCCAAGAAAGCATGGGGGGGGGAGCTCTAACAGCTAAATGATGTATTTTTCTACTTACTCTGTTGGGTTTCGTTTCCTCTGAAGGTTTCCTCGACTCTCTGCTGTCAGGACTCTGCCTGACAACTCATATTTATATGGCTGATATTTCTGTATGCTTGTAGTTAGCCTCATTAATATGCCTCTTCCCTCAGCATGGGGGCAGCTAGGTGACTCAGTGGACAGAGCAAGCACAGGGCCTAGAGTCAGGAAGATCTGAGTACAGATCTGGCCTCAAACACTTAGCTGTGTGACCCTGGTCAAGTCACTTCACCCTGTTTGCCTTACTGCGCTGGAGAAGGAAATGGCACACAGCTCCGGGATCTTTGCCAGGAAGACCCCATGGACAGTCTAGTCTGTTCCACAGGGTGGTGAAGAGTCAGTTGTGGCTGAACAGCAGCAGACGAACCTTTGGCATAGACGATTCCGGCTGGGCCTTTTCTGGTTCAGGAGCTCGCTTGATGGACCCTTCCCTGCTTCATACAAAATGTGAGACCATTCATTCTGTCTGTCTCCTTTAAAGGCCTGGCCGTTTGCTGATTTCTGTGTCTCTACGTTTTTTAATTTGATTACAGAGACAAAATGTTATGTTAACAGGCCATATTAGAAACTTACACCAAAGGAGGTGTGACTCGTCCTCCAGGCTCGGAGAGCTCCCCTGGGGACTGGACCCTGGGCTGCGGTGGTTCTGGAGTCAGAACACCCAGCCCCAGCTTTGCTGCCCTGCCTGCTGTGGCACGGCATGCCCTCAGCTTTCAGACATGGTGATCCTGATCAGCTCAGTCAAACTCCAAGACACCACATGTCAACAGTTAGAGCAGTCACGGGTTCATTATCCGCTCAGGGCACAATTACTTGGCGGCGACCCTGTCTGGGAGGCTTCACTGAGCCCCAAAGAACTCATATCCTGCAGAGACACTCGGCAAGCAGGCCCTCCAAGAGGCAGATCGCCACTGATAGGAGTTCTAATTTATAAGCCCATAATCTGATAGCTTGCTTTTGAAAGGAGATGGGGTAGGGAGATACTTAGTGTCCATATTCCTTGGGCATTTGGGGAAGATTTATTTGCTCGTGTGATGATAATATTTTATAAGGACACAGGACTTTATTACACAAACCCGATGTAGCCCCTCACCTGCCCCAGCCGCCCCCCTTCCTGCCAAGAGCAGGCTTGAACATTGATTTACTCTGAATTCAGGCCTGTAGAAGGATGACTCATGTCTCGACTGGTATATTTGGTAGTGCTTTGCCATCTTCAGAAGCAGGCCTGCATCTGGAGGGCGGGGCCCATGCAAGATTCCTGAGATGTGCTTTTTGAAAAGTCTCCATCCCTGGTCCTGAACTGGGCTGGGCCCTAGTACCCTGACCCTGAGCAGGCCGGAGCTTTCGGAGGCAGCAACAGCGTTCCCTTCCAGGACAGGGGATGCTCTAATTTCTCCACCTCTTTGAGCAAGGAGGCGAGGTCACTAGGGGAGAGGGGAAAGCTCCGAGCACTAGCTCACGCGTTTCCTCCGAGGATAGACTTGTCGTGCTGTGTCAGTCTGAGTGTCTTGCCATCCATCTGAAAGGAACGGTAGAATAGGCACCGCTGACCTCGCAAAAGCCTATGCAGCTTGGAGGCCCCTCCTGGTGGGGCCCCTCACCCAGAGCCCCCCCAACAGCCCAGGGCCAGCGTGGGTGCTGAGCCCACCCCGGTCACGATGCTGTTGCTGCCTGCTTTTCCCCCTTGGGCCCCTGCAGCATTGACAGGTGGCCTGTAAGAGTGGGGTCTTCCTCGTCCCTTTGAAGTGACTGCAGGCAGTGCATTCTGGTGCTTCCGTTCTGCGTTTAGGACAGGTACCCTCTCATTTCCTAAGTGGAGCCGAGGCTGCTTAGTCTTCCTGGTGGCAAGCTGGGCTGAGCAGGTCAGAGCCAGAAGGCCCTGGGGCGTCTGGCCACACTTGGCTGTCACATTGTCAGGCCTGTGGAGTCAGGCAGGCTGAGCAGCAGCTCTTTCTTCATCGTGTTTCCCTACAGAGTCTGTTACAAGGGAAAGCTGGGGCCTCTGGGAGCTTGTTCTGTCCTGGCAGAGCCCCACCAGAAGCAGTGTTTGGTGACAGCAAAAAAGCCCTGGCTCTCAATCCCACCTGGGGCTGGGGCTGCTCCTGCCCCACAGGATGTACACTTCCTGGGGCTCCGCCATGCCCCTGCCTCGCGCCCACATGCTCCCTTTTGGGCCCTGGCCCCCAGCTCAGGCTCACATGTGTCTTCACTCTCCCCTGCAGGCTACCTGTGCATGACAGACCAGTGGTTCTCCGAGTACGTGTATGAGGTGGTCGTGGACAAGAAGCACGTGCCTGAGGATGTGCTCGCCGTCCTGAAGCAGGAGCCCATTGTGCTTCCGGCCTGGGACCCCATGGGGGCTTTGGCCAAATGACTCCCACGATCTCCAATTCTCACTTCCTCGAGCATGACCGGAAGTCCTGGGGGCCTGAAGCCAAAGTGGAGGAGGTGACGGGGATGTTGCCAGGCCTAGTCAGACTCCTGGGTTGCTGAGCCCCTTGCTCCCGGAGCCTCTTGGGGAACTGTGCTTTCTGCTGTACTGTGGCATCCAAACACTCTCATTTCAGACAGGCTACTCTTTAAAAATGAAAAGACCAGGTCATACGGTTTCCTCTCCTCAACCCCAGTCACTCGGGCTCTGCCTGATTCAGAGGGAGGGGGGAGGGGGAAAAAACCTCTTAGTATTTTAATCAAACTGAAAAAAAAAATTGAGCTCCGTAGAACAGAGAAAGACCTTTAGGATGTAGGGGGTGGAGAAGGTTGGGCTGCTTTCCCCCATTGCCCATGGTTCTCAGGTTTCAGAAGGAAAATGTCACCGTAGGATTGAAGCCCGCAGAGCTGCATGCTGCTTGACCAATGATGGAGACTCTGCCACTCTGGTTGCTGAATTTCACCTTTTCCATTGTAGCTTTATCTGCCTCTACCAGCATGGGATGGGGATGAGGACAGGAGGGCACTGAGCTCCTGCTTCCCATGGCTTAGGGGAGAGGAGAGGACATGCCACCACCTGCTAAAATCCCATCCGAGTTGGGGCTCAGGAAGGTGAGGTGAGACAGTGACCAAAATCATATCATGACCTGAATTTAAAAAAAAAATAGGGGACTCTCTAGCAAATGGTGTCATTTTAAACTTCTGCATCTGGAGGGGGGCAGGGCAGGGGCGAAGCAGAGGGGTGGCGGGCTGGGGCTGCGTTCTTTCAGACAACTAGATGGTGCTGTGAAGCTTTTGAATAAAACATTTTCCTAAATGAGACTTCTGGATGTGTTTGGTCTATACTGGTGAGCTAGTGGGAGGCTCCAGGTGCATCCCCTAGGGACAGTCTCCTGAAGGACCATTCCCCCCTTTCCCTGTCCAGGATGCAGGCCCATGACTGGTGGCACTGGTGGTGACCCCACTTTGAGGCGTGTGTGCTTTCCTTTTAGTAGAAGTGAACTTCAAGAAAAAACTCAAGGCTTCTGCAGTGGCTGTCTGGGGAACTGGACCGAAGGGTACCTGTCCCCCTAACCCAGGGTTCTTGTTTGTGTTGTGGGAACCTTGGGCAGACAGTCAGGCAAAATCTCTAGACCCTTTCTCCCAATCTTGTTTTTAAATGAATAGAATTCAGGATTGCCAAGGTTCCTGGAGGGCCAGGACCATATCTAAGGGTTTCTCCTCTGTTTCTTGCCTCAAGAATTCACTAAGTCAGTGTTTATTGAGAATCTGATATCTCTTAAGGCCCTGTGACAGGTCTGCTGTAATACAGAAGACATGGTTCCTGCCCTCAGAAGCCTTCCAGCCTAGCTAGGGAGACAAGCCACGTGCCCACGGAAATGACCCAAACACGACGCAAATAGCATTTCAGTATAGTGATACAAGAATGCCCCAGGCGTGTATGTGATGGCATCTTCATCAGGTGACATGAAATAAGTCTGCGAATCATTTCTTTGTCAAAAGAAAGTAGGAAGTACCATGGAGTCCAGAGGAGGAGATGATTTTTATTTCTTCCCCCACCTCAGCAGCCTATCCATCTTGTTACCCATTTTGATGTTTGATTCACTGAGCTGCCTTGTGTGAGTTCTCCATGAAATAGTCTTTTTGGCAAGCATACGCTTTGCATTCGAACAACGTGGCCAGCCCATCGGAGTTGTGCTCTCTGCGGTAGAGTGTGAACGCTTGGCAGTTTAGTTCGAGAAAGGACCTCAGTGTCCTTATCCTGCCAGGTGATCTTCAGAATCTTCCTAAGACAATTCAAATGCAAGTGATTCAGTTTCCCGGCATACAACGATGAGGTCAGCACAGCTCTGTAGACCAGTGTGGCAGTCACTCTAACGCCTCTTCTCTCCTGCACTTTCCTTTGGAGCCTCCCAAACACTGAGCTAGCTCTGGCAATGAGTGCATCAACTTCATTATCAATGTGTACATCCCTGGAAAGTATGCTACCTTCCAGATAAGTGAACTTTTCCCCAGCATTCAAAACTTCTCCATGGTTCCACGTATGGATGGGGTGGTGCTGGCTGATGGAGCACCTGCGTTTTCTTGTTAATTGTTAGGCCAAAATTAGCACAAGCAGCAGAGAATGGATCCATACTTTGTTGCATTTCAGCTTCAGAAGCTTCGTTGGGTGCACAATCATCTGAACAGAAAATCATGTGCCAGCACTCTCTCCACTTTGGTCTTGGCTTATAGCCTTTTCAAGTTGAAGAATTTACAGTCAGTGCAGTAGCTAACTTTGATGCTGTGTTCGTCCTCATCGAAGGTACTTGCCAACATGGCTGAAAATATTATACTAAAAAGTGTGGGAGCAAGCACGTAGCCTGTTTCACTCCATTCGTGACTGGGAAAGCACGAGAAGAGTCCATTGTCCAGAACCCGGGCAAGCATGCCGTCATGAAGTTGATGTGCAATGCTGATGGACTTCTCTGGGCCTAACTCACTGAGTGTAAGACTCAGATGAAATTGTGGATGGTCCATGTAGTCCTGTTCCCTTCTAACACGAGAAAACTGAGGTCCAGGGAAGTTGTGACTTTCCCAAAGATCAAAGGAAGGAGAGGAGCTTCACTTCAGGCCCTTCCATTAGCTGTGATTCCAACTCTCCTGGATGACAGTGTGGAATTAGGAAAGGAAAGGGACCCTTTGGTCCAAGGAGCCCACTGCTGGGCCTGGGCCTTGGGCCCTGAGGAAGGCAATGGTAGGCAAAAGATCGAATACCTAGCAAAACGATCGTAGCCCCACTTAATGGTAGTAAAGAATTGGAGGCAAAATGAGTACCTGTCAGGCTGGGGGAAAAAGCCTGGTGTGTGGATATCATGTAATATAATTGTAAGGTAAGAAATAGACATGAAAAATTTGGAGAAATAGGGGAAGATGTATATAAACTGAGGCAGATGGAAGCAGCACCAGAGAATAACACACAGTGACTATGACGATGTAAGGGAAAAGATCCCTAGAAAGAGGCTGGGTCCCAAGGACCCAAAGGCGAGAGCACACGATGGCATCAGGGAGCAGCTAATGGAAACTCCCCCTCCTCCCAGCAGAGGGGAAGGGGCCACTGGGTCAGAATGGTGTCACTGGATCGTGGCGTTCCATTCCCTTTCTGTGCCATACATAATTAGTTCAGCCATTCACTATGGTGACAACACTGTAGAAATAAACAATTTTGAAAGGCTCAAGATACTCTGATCAACACAATGAAACAGTTACAGTACAAGAGACCTGATGATGGAGGGTGCTGACCACCTCCTGGCATAGAGGTCATGGGTTCAAGAGAAAGAATAAGACCAATGTTTACAATGGCCAATGTGGGAATTTGTTTTGCTTGATGGTACCTGTTTGTTACACGTCTTGTTTTTCTTTCTCCAGTGTGTGGAGGTGGGAGAAAAAGAAAATAAATGATTGTTAATTGGAAAAAAATACAATTTAATTTAGAAAGTCATGAGAGAAGAATGAACCTAAGTCGGAGCCTTGGGGGACACAGCTGGTTGGATCTGAGATCTGACTCTGTCTCCTGACATTAATGCTCTTTCAAGAATGTGTTTGATTTTGAACTGCAGAACCTCTTGGCCACAGAGCTGAATTTCTGGTGTTCAAAATAAAGAATAATAGGCTCGTAGACTCGGAGCTGGGAGGAACCTTAATCCAGTTCCCCCGTAAATGAATTAATGAAAGAAAAAGCATTTATTAAGCACCTGCTATATACCTACCCGGGCACTGTGCTGAGTGCTAGGGATACAAAGGAAGGCAAAAACTAAAACAACAAAACAACAACAAAACCCAGAACACACAGGCCCCAGCTTCAGAGAGCTCCCAATCTCATGGAGCATTTGAAAGGAATCATGACTTCATTCGGACCAGGTTTAAATGATACGTATTTGCCCAATGTAAGTTACATGGTGTCATGACTTACTGATCTACTGGTCTCTACATCAGAAGATCTGAGTATGAATCTTAGCTCTGCTACTTACTAGCCGTGTTCTGAGCCTCTGTTTTCTCATCTGCAAAATGGGGATACTACTACTTTCAAGACCTCTATTCTGGGGTGGCTTTGGGAAGGGGCTAGAGAAACGGACCTGGCTGCTTTTACCTGGTGACTTGCGGACTTTGTGGGGGTTCATTCTTTCCACAAACATTTGTGAAGCATTTATTAGGTGCCAGGAGCTCTGCCAGATGCTAGGGATACAAAGCAAAACCACGACAATTCCTGCCCTCAAGGAGCTTATATTCTCTCTGGGTGTGGGGGAGGAGGAGAGGACGATGGCAACATGTACACAGATAAGCAGATACAAACTGTGAAACAATTAAACACAATACAAAGTAATTTATAGAGGAGAGGGCATGAGCAACTGAGGAGATCAGATAGAGAATCATAAACTAGACCTTGAAGAATGCTGAGGACCCTAATAGGTGGAGCCAAGGAAGGCATTCCAGGCCTCGAGAACACTCTGGGCAAAGGCTTGAAGATGGGAGATTGGAACAGCAAGCAACGCAGCCAGACTGGCGAGAATGTCGAGTGTGTGGAGGTGGGTCGTGTCTAGTAGCTGGAAGGGGGCAGGGAAGCCAGATTGTGAAGGGCTGTAAATACCAAACACAGGAGTCTGTATCTAATTCTAGGGGTAATAGGGAACCACTAGAGTTTTTTTCCCCAGGGAGTGGCAAATCAGTTCTATACTTTTGGGATATCAGCCCCATTCCATTTAATAGAGACAAGATCTCTCATGCAAGGTTCTTTTAAGCTTCATCTCTGCTAAGAATCAAGCAAATTACAGACAGGAAAATTCTAGGTAGACCCAAGAACTCCCTAAGGATATGGGTTACTATAATAAAACAGGAGTGTATGGTAGAGTTGCCTGAAGAGGGGATGGAATTATTTTTCCCAGGGTTCTTTAGTAGTAAATAATTTTACTGATGCCTTTAAAAAACAACATTATTAACATATCTAGATATATTCTGCCACTCCCCTCCCCCTTCAATAAAACCTCTCGTAACAAAGGAAAACAATTAAACAAAAACCACTGTCAGCCACAGGACAGTGTATGAAACATTCTGCTCTCATAGTCCCCACCCTACCCCCACCCCTGACTCTTTGTGGAAGGCAGATAAGTATATTTTATCGTTTCTTCTGTGGGACTGTTTGGTTGTTACACATAGTTTGGCTTTCTTTAAGTACTCTCTTCTTTTACATGGTTATAGTCATTGTATCTATTAATTTCTTTATTTTGCCCTGCATCCATCAGTTCCTCCAGGTCTTCTCATGCCTCTCTGAATCCTTCGTGGTTGTCACTTCTAACTGCACAATAACATTCACAATCCACAGGTGTTGTTTGTAGCCATTCCCCACACCGTTGAGTCCAGTTGTGGTGATGTGAGTATTTTGGTATTTATTCGATCCTTGTTCATGTTCTTTCATGTTCTTGGGGGTGGGGGGTGGGAGGAAAGAGGTGTGCTCTGGAGCTCTTTAAGATTAGGCAGGATAAATGGCTATGTGTGTCAGCTTCATGTGTGTGTGTGTGTGTGTGTGTGTGTGTGTGTGTGTGTGGTGTGTGTTCATTAGATTGTAAGCTCCTTGAGGGTGGGGACTGTCTTTTTGTTTGTATTTGTATCCCTGGTGCTTTGCAAGTGCCTGGCACCTCGTAAGCTTTCCAATTTAAAAAAAAATTTTTTTTTTTTTAGGCAATTGGGGTTAAGTGACTTTCCCAGGGTCACACAGCTAGTAAATGTCAAGTGTTTGGTCTGAGGCCAGATTTGAACTCAGGTCCTCCTGACTTCAAGGATGGTGCTCTATCCACTGTACCACCTAGCTGCCCCTAGCTTTCCAATTTTTCTGGGATAAAGAAAGTTTTTCTGACATCAAACCTAAATCTGTTTCTGGCCTCTGGGATCAAATAAAACAAGTTTTATGTTTCCTCCACATACATGAAGATAGTTATTCTTTCTCCTGAGTCTTTTTTTTTCTTTTTTTCTCCCAATTAACATAGTAATACTTGGTGCTTTGCCTCATCTAGTTTAGCAGCAGCTCTGCCTCTAGGCCAAGAAGGCAGCTCCCTGAACTCTGGGAGGTCCTGGCCAGCCCCAGAGTTCTGCTCCAGATGTAGCTTCGGTAAATGACTGACCACAAGAGAGCAAGGCAAGGGCCTGAGTCATGCTGCCCACTCTCAGGATGTGGTGGCAAGGGCAGCTCTTGCTTGACCTCCCTTTAATCTGCCGCCCTCTATGTCAGCGCCAGGAGAGGCCCCCTCCTCCTACAGGGCTGGGGATTGCTGCTCCCGAACTCCGTGGGGACTGGCCTGGCACAGCATCACCAACTGGTCACCAGGAGTCCAGACTGGCAGTGTGGTCAGTATTTCATTGTCATTATTATCGCCTTGTTGTTTTCCATGTTAGCTGTTCCAGCCCAGAATTGCCACAGTTCTGATATCTTGTACAGAACGGTCATGGAGACGGACTGTGCAGCATTGCCTCTCCCAGAGATGATAAGGAGCCCTTCCCGGGTGCCTGGAGTGAGGCAGAAACTGACTTTCTTCCACTCTGTGGTCTTTTCTCAACTTACACAGAATTGCTCTCAAAGGCAATTTGATTCCAACCATCTGTGTAGTGAAAAGAACACTGAATTTGGAGTTGGACGACCCCCTTTGATCAAGTCCTGGTTCTGCCACTTATTGAGTGTGGGTGACCTTGGACAATTCACTTCACCTTCCTGAGTCTCACTTTCCTCATCTGTAAAAGGGGAGCAATAATGGAGAAGGATCTGGAAGGCTCCAATGAGATTGATTTGTATGTTAAAGAGCTTGGTAAGCCTTCAAGTATCTCCTATTACCTTACATTTGTTATGAGTCTACTTTGTCCCTTCCCATCGATGTCCCCTTCCTCTCAAGGGACAGAACCACTGCATGTGCTCTTTTCTGCTCTGTACCGCACCATTTATGTGTGCTTGAGCAGAAACAGCTCTAGAGTTGTGGATGAGAGCAAATGGGATCCTGAATGGGGAAGAATTGTTGCTGAAAAGTTGTATGTATGTGGCTCCAAGGACTTGAGCCATTTCTGGGGCTCTGATACAAAATACAGAGGGAAAGGCTGAGCAGCACCCCTGCTGAGCCCAGTGTAATGGGGGCAGAGGAGCCAGATGGAGCTGGGGCCTCCTCAGTGACTCCTGAGTGGATTTAGGCTGGCTTTCATCAGCCAACTTCTGGAGTAAAACAGTTACCTGGCTCTGGGTCTCCCTGGAAGTCCATTTTCCAGGAGGGGGCAGAGGATTAAATGTGACCTTTCCATCTCAGACCAAAAGGCTGAATGCGGCCCTGTTAGGTGTCTCATGTCCTTAAACTGCATCAGAATTGGATTGAGGTGTGAGTGAGGAACAGAAAGAGGTATAGAGTCCAGGGTCAGGGTTGGGAGTGGGGTGGGGTTTGAAACTGACTCATCATTTCCCTTCCTGTCAAGACTGTCCCCCATTTTCCCTCCCCTCTCATAAGGAAATACGATTTCCATATTTCCATTAATAGTATTATTATTCTTCCAGTAACCCATGTTTGAAACCTTGGAATTACCCTTGACTCTTCTCTCTGCCTCCTCCCATAGAGGCATTTAAATAGGAAAAAAATAACAACAGGTATATAGGGGAGGCACAGAGTCTAGGGAGAAAGAGGAACCCATTTTTTTCAGGGTATAGAGCAGAAAGACATACTCTAGTCTTCACAAAAACCTTCTATCACCAAATCCTGTTGTCTTTTTGTAAAGTTTTTCTAATTCAATTGCTATATGGCAAAGTGAGGATGTTAAATGCCACATATGATCTCATTTGAGCCTCAGAAATGGAGTGTAAACTGTCTGGAGAGGTGGTGAGTTCCCTGTCCTTGTTGGGCTTCAAGCAAGGGCTGGAGACCCTGGTGGGCTGTTATGTTAGGGATTCCTTTCACGTATGGGTTCGTCTAGGTGGTCACTGACATCCCTTGTGATTCAGAAACTCTGCCATCCTGGGGTTCTGTGATTCAGAAGCAGTGGCCAAGCTGCCTCCCTGCTGGAGAGTGAAAAGAACAAGGGGCCAAAGATGGAAGTGGGGGAGGGCCACAGTTAGGTTGTGGAGGGAGGAAAGGGAGCATCTGATATAAAGAAGAGGAAGTCGGAGGTTACAAGGAAAACCAGGAGAGTGCAAAGCCACAGGAGCCCAACGAGGGCATTTGCAGGAGGTGATGCTCAAAAGCCTTGAAGGCTTCAGAGAGGGCAGAGAGGATGAGGACTAAGAAACCTTAGCTCTGGAGGCAAGATAGTGGGGCTGGACCTGTTGTTGGGAGGACCTGGGTTCACCCCTAGCTATGTGACCTTGGACAGGTCACTTCATTTCTCCATGCCTCAGTTTCCTCACACGTAAAGTGAGGAGCATAATATATGCACACACTACCACATGGGGTTGTTATGAAGAAAGCACATGATCATCCTTAAAGCACTATGTATACACATGTATACCTCTACATGTATATGTACATACATATACATATGTGAGTTATCCTTATTGGTGACTTTGGAAAAGGGAGTTTTAGTATGGTAGCAAGAAGAGAAGTGAGACATCAAGGGGTTAGGAATCCAAAGAATGGACAAGAAGAAGAGCCAGATTGTCTGTTTGAGGAGTTTGGCAATGAAAGGAAGATGCAAATTGCTTTTTCTTTTTCTTTTTTTTTTTTTAAGGTAGGGAAGGGGGCAGCTAGGTGGTGTAGTGGATAGAGTGCAGGTCCTGCAGTTAGGAAGACCTGGGTTCAAATCTGCCCTCAGATGCTAGCTGTATGAACCTGGCCAAGTCACTTAACCCTGTTTGCCTCAGTTTCCTCATCTGCAAAATGAGCTGATGAGAGAAATGGCAAACCACTCCAGGATCTTTGCCAAGAAAACCCCAAATGGGGTCAGGCAGAGTCAGCTGTGACTGATTCAATAACACCACCAAAGCAGGGAAGGCGTGAGCCTGTCTGAAGGAGGAAGGAAAGGGAACCTTAATGAGGGAAAGCGTTGCTATTTAGAGAGGTAATTATGAAAGGCAGGTCTTGGAGATTTTTAACATTTTGTCCTGGAAGGAAGTGAACTTATTAAGTGGCTACTATGTGCCAGGCACTGTATTATCTCCTTTGATCCTCACAAGACCCCAGCGGGTAGATGCTAGCATTACCCCCATGTTACAGTTGAGGAAGCGGAGGCAGACAGCGCTTAATGATTTGCTCAGGGGTCACAGAGCTAGTAGGTGTCTGAGGTCACATTTGAATTCAGGTCTTCCTTAGACCAGGACTCCTCTAGGCACCCTTTCATGGGTCTCTTTTTTGGTTTGATGAAACTTGTGAATTCCTTCTCAGAATAATGTGTTTAAATCATTGAAAGAAATGCTCAATTTCAGCTAGAGATTAACAAAAACACAGATGTAAATTTTTCCCATCAAGTTAACAGAGCCCCTGGAATCTATCCTTGGATGCCTTGAAGGGCCATGGACCTCAGGGGGACAAACAATCAGAATCTCAGTGTTGGGAGGAATATCCGAGGAAAGCATGACAATGAGCGATGAATCAAAGTGGCCACAGCTTCAAGATTCTTCCTTTTCTTTAGCCTTGAAGATAGAGGGGAGAAATCAGACACTGGGGCATGCAGGAGTGGATAGATAATACTGAATAGGTGACAGTGAAAGGTAGGGCGGAGAAGGGAGTGTGGCCAAGAAGGGGCAAACAGACTGGATAAGGCAATGGATCACTCACTATAATAAGCACTGTTGTGTGGTGTGCTAGGCACTGAGGATACAGAGACCAACACTGAATCCATCTGTACTCTCCAGGAGCACCCCATTTGGAATCGGGAACCTCCAGTGACTGAAGACCTTGGTGAGACCTGAGGGGAGGTGCAGTGGGTGAGCTGGGGGAGTGAGAGAGATGCAGGTGAGGATGCAGTGTTCAGAGCAGGGGAAGTGGCAGATTCCACTGAGGAAAGGAGCAATGCCTTATTGGAGGTGGGGGTGGAGGTGGGGAGCTCTATTCCCAATTGGAGAGGTCAATTCTGCCATCTCTGAGGCTTTGGATAAGTGATTTCCCCTCTTGTGGAGGAAATTCCCTCATCTTCCTCCTCTGTAAAGTGAAGGGGCTGGGATGGGCGCTCTTTAAGGACCTGGTCTATGATCCCAAGTTGCTGGCTTCTCAAAACCCCAAATTCCAAAGAGTGTTCTCAGTGCTTGTAGTACTCACACTGATGTCAAGATGGCAGCAAAGCCTTATCACTGATTCCTCAGAGACGGCGGCGGACCCCTCCCTCCCCCCCCTCATTGTGGCGACTAGCCCCAAGTCCAAAAGCAGATACCTCCCCAACTCCGGAACCTTAGTTCTGAGATCACTGGGCTCTGTCCACTGAGGTTTCAAGCCAAAACTCTCCAAGTGAGCTCCAGATGCACAGACTTGATGGTATTAGATGAGACTTTTTAGAACATAAAATCTCACTGATTTTAATATGATGGGGAGAGGGATGGGGCGGGCGCGTGGACAGGGAGCTTTGCTTATTTCTCACCTTACTTTTAGGGGGATAGTCCCTTTGGGTGATTCTCTAAGAGAAAAAATTGTTAATGGTCCGATTTAATGACTGTTCTGAAAGGATGGACTGTGGTCTGGTCTGTGTTTGGGACTTCAATCTTTTTGGGTGGGGGGGGCAGAAAGAAAAAACTCTTTGTTGTTCTTGGAATTGAAAAAAAAACACCACCAAACCTAAACAAGAAAAATATGCCTCTTTGTCTCTGAGAATCTCCCACCCCACCCCACCCCCAAAGCCCCGAAGTTGGGGCTTTGATTCCTTACTCTGCCCCTAAGATCAGTTGTCCCAGGAGGGCCTATGGCCCTCTCAGGACCTTCTCTGCTTCCATCCAGTCCATGGTGGGGCAGTCTGGGTAAGACTGCTGGCACCTGGAGTCGCAGAATTCTAGACTTAGAGCTGAAAGGGACCTCAAAAGTCGTGGAGTCTAGTCCTACTCCCTCATTTACAGATGGGGGAAACTGAGGCATAGAGAAGTTCGATCTAGGTGTTAAAGGCAGGATTCAAATTGAGCTCTTCCTGCCTCCCACCAGAGTCAGAGAATCTTGGTTCGAATCCTGACTCTCACTACGTATTTGATCTGGAATGAGCCCCTTCCTCACTCTGGGCCTCAGTTTCCTTTTCTGTAATATGAAGGGACTAGATGCTTGTGACATCCCTTCTACCTCCTAATCTATGATCCTAAGGGGGGGGAGGGGAGCTATCATGGTGGGACACAGAGTACCCTAGAAACTGAGCAGTTCTGATGTGTCCTCTGCCTCTCAGCTTCGGGGTTCCTGCTCTCCAGAGCCAACCCAAGCGCATCCATGCAGCCACCCACCGCTAGGAGGAAATTGCAGAGGCAGCCGTGGTGAAACATAAAGTTTATTCGGCTAAAAGTGACGCAAAAATTCTTAAACAGCTCTTTGGCAGCCGATTATCTGGAAATCAGACCATGTGAGGGGGACTGGAGTACAAAAACCTCCCCCACCGCATGGGCTGCTCGCACGCTCAAAGTCAGGCACCAGAGTGACTTCAGGGGCAGTGGCATTCAGACTTGAACAACTCTCGGGGGAGAAGGCGCTCAGAATCATCTGGCACACAGGTACTGGCTCCTTTCTGTTTCCAGCCCACACCTCTCCCAAGTCGTGTTCCCCCGGCGGGGTGCTCGGGAGCTGTCCTCTCCTCTCTCTCCAAGCCTCTTCTCTCTGGAGCGGATTGGAGAGAGGCAGTAAGTCGCACCGAAAGATCCCTGTACTCCGTCCCTCGCCGCTTTTCTGGGCAGCCTTAAGTTTCCAGAGTGCTCCAGCGAAGGGGGAGAGGAGAGGAGCAGGATCAGAGGGCTTGGCTGGGGATGCTCTGGGCTGCAGGTGTCTCAGTAATGGGGAAAGGTCTGGCTGGGGCAAAGGAGCACTGCAGAGAGAAACCCTCCTTGTGGTCGGGGGTGCTGGGAGAGACATTTTTTCAGTCTCATTTGGCTTTGACTTTGCATCTTAAGGAAAATTTCGTTTTCTTGTGGCTTCACCCAGGCACTTCTGCAGGGACCATTCCCGTTTGACACAAATGCTTGAATGCTGAGAGAAGGGAATGAATGAACACATGCTTACACAGGCATCCCCCTTATTGGCAGACAGGCAGCCTGCTCCAAGGTTCCACAGGGCATTCGGAGTTTCTGTCAAATTCAAGTCCTTGTTAGACACAGCTAAAATTAATGAACTTTATATGGATTTTTTTTTTCTGTGAAGCCAGAGAATCTGTCTGGTGTGGGCAGAGAGTGCTGGACTTAGTTAGGAAAAACTCCTAGAGGCAGTACTTACTGGCTGCCTGAGGTTCTACTACACAAGCTACTTCAGTTTTGTGGGCCTCAGTTTCCTTATCTGTAAAATAAGGTTAATAATACTTGTAATAATAACTCACAGGATTGCTGTGAAGCTCATACGAAGCATGTAAAGTCTTTGCCAACTTTAAAACAGTATGTATGTTTTTATTATGTCAGTTTCTTTAAGAGTTTATAAAACTCAGGAAAGCTCCAAGCAGCTGGTTCCCTTCCCCATGGAACCTACTCATGTTAAATGAACATTTGTTGCTCCAGAAGGGACCTTAGAAACTGTGGGGTCCAATCCCTTTATTTTTACAGATGAGGAAGCTGAAGCCCAGGAAAATTGAATGATGCTCAAAGATGTAGAGATGGTAAGTGTCAGAGGCAGGATCTGAACCCAGATCTTCCCACCACCAAATCTAACACTCTATCTACTACGCCTAGGCTGTCTATTTTTCCTGGGTAAATGTGTATGTGATCTGTTTTGACTAGATGAACCAGGTCAGTGGATTATTTATGAGTTTGCTTAGCTCCCTTTATAGTGAGAGAAGGACAGCTGGTCCAAATATTGAATGTCTTTTGCTTTCCATCCCATCAGGAAATGATCTAAGAAATCTAACGCTGGAGTTAGTGTGGAATGTGAAAAAAAGAAGAGCTGAGCAGGGGAAGAGATCCATGCCTAGCCTGTCTCTGGAGGGATGCAGTTGTAGAAGCTTGGGCCCTGTGTCCCATTATCAGCTTTCGGACAGAGCCCTTCAGGTCAGAAGGTTCATAGCCATCCTCTCAAGAGTTTTGGCTGTGGGGAGTGACCTGCCTGCTCAGGACTGTGGGCACAGGAAACCCATAGCTAGTGAGATGCAAGATATTTTGTGTTCTTCTCAGGGAATCAGGGTGAACGATGATTTTGACATGGCTCCATCAATGAATAAAAGTACCTTCCTCCCACTAACTGGGTATAGGCAGTCCAATTAGGAAACCTCAGGGATGTTGCCTGCCAACAGAGTAATCCAAATCCATTTTTCATTGCTAGTTACTCCTGCAAGACTCTGAATGTGCTGTGGGAAGCAGGGGAGGAATAACACTGTAGGCAGTTTTTTGGGTATCAGTAAGTTCAAGGACAAATATTCAGTCTGGCCGGCCCCCTGAGCAAGGGAGGGCAGATGGATTTTCCCAAAATCTTCAGGAAAGAGCTATTCATGGTTAGGCACCTGTTGAATTCCTTTCAGTAAATATATTGGAAGCACACACTTTTATTGGAGAACGTCTCTCATAACTGAGTTAGTGCTGGGGATATTGAGTCAAAAAACAAAACAGTTTTTGCCTTTGGGGCCTTTACTTTCCCTTGTAAGGATACATCATGTACACAGATAAATACATGCAAAATATTTATAAAACAATGCAAAATGATCTCGAGAGGGAGAGTGGCACCTGGGTAGATTGGGGAAGGTTTCCTGAAGGAGGAACCTTAAAGGAAGCTAGGGGTTTCTGAGATGTAGTGCTGCCTAATCCTTAGAATCAAATGTTCTAGGTTCAAATTCTGCTTCAGATACTTACTTACTGCCTGATCCTGTGTGTGTGTGTGGGGGGGGGGGGATCACCTTACTTCTCTGGGACCCAGTTGTAAAACTGATTATAAGTGCCTTCTAGCTCTAAGTATATGGACTGATGAAGATGGTGAGGTGGGGTGAGGAAGGAATAGACTCCAAGCATGGCATTAGAGCCTACTTGTGCAAAGTCGTAGAGGTGGAAGATGGGATGTTGTATACATGGATGTTTCATTGTACTTCTTTGGGGGTGGGGCACTGGAAACTCTTCCCTACAGCAACCTGACCAAAATATCCTGAATGTGCCAGCAAGTCAGTCCAGGAGGTACCCAGGTAATGTCATACACTAAGTGAGTTTGGCCATGGAGCAGAGATAATAATGCAATAGGCTCCTTGGAAAGCAGCCTGGGAGGTTTAGCTCTTGGTGTGCTGAGGAGACAGATGTAACAGGGAAAGGTCACAAGTTTTTGCCTTTATCTAAAGAAGTCGGAGCACCAAATGTGCCCTGGGAGAGTCTGAAGCCAGTGTTTCTGAGGAAACGGGTTTGAGAGGGGGTGTGAGCTCTTGCTCTTGACCGCTCATCCCCTCCCACCCTCTGTCTGTCTGTATTTGGCAATCACAGAATCACAGCTCGAAGGACGGGCACAAAGAAACTTCCCATGAGCCCCGGATATCTACAGCAGGAATGATGGGTGCTCTGAAGCAGTTTATGACCACCTCTGTAGTCCCTTTCTCAGATGCTGCACTGTCTCCCTAACGTGCAAGTCAATCCCTGTACTATTTCTGCAGAACATTCTTAAGCCACAGTCACTCTACTCCAAATCTGGAGCCAGGAGTACCAGCTCTGCCACGTAAAGTAAGATTTACAAAGTGCTTTCCTCCCATTAATCCTGCGACATTGATAGTGCAGTATCTATTTTTTTTTCAATAGGCTCAGAAAGGTTAGGGTTATACCAGTGGTTACTCAGCTAGTAAGTACATTAGGCAAGATTTGAACCCACGTCTCCCAACTCTAACCTCATGCTTCTTCCTTTGTACCTTGATATCTCTGGAGTATTTGGGTGTGAATTACCTAGGTAGTCCGGGTAGGTTGCTTCCCTCTCTGAGTCTCAACTTCCATAGCTCTAAATTTGGGGGGTTGGATTTGATGGGCTCTGAATTCCTTTCCCCCATCTAAATCCTCCAAACCACTCTCTGATGCTTTTTTTTTTCTCAATCCACACAATGTCGTACATGGTAGAAATGGGCTGGGCACAATAAACACTTTATTTTCCTTACAGATTCTGCTAATTCACTTTAACCTACTAACTAACTAACTAACATGGTGAATTGGCAGATTTCCGGGTGTGTGGGGAATATGATCAGGTGCTGAGCACAACACCAGAGGACTGCATGCTGCCTTACTTGGGAACATCTATTATGTGTGGGAAGCAACCAGTATAGCCCTCTTCCCTTGTGGATATAGAGATACTTAGCACAACTTTGTGAGTAAATACAAAGAACTGATCAACCTATACATTTTCTTTTCTCTTTACAAAATCACCCTTTCTACTCAAAATGTCAATACTTTACTCATCTACAGATCTGACCCAACACCAGCCAAAGTGTCAATGGGGTCCTCAACAGAATTCAAAAGTCATAACAAAATAAACGGGGAAAAAGAGAAGGGCTAAATTATCAGGGGTAACTATGGGGAGGGGAGAAATGCCATTGCTGGGCATCAGTGGGTGCACACTGTTGCACAAACTGGCCCTTGGGTCTTAAAATGTACTATAAAGAAGTTACTATAAAAATAGTTAGTATGGGAATGAAGATTTTTTTTAAACAAAAGAAAAACTCTAAATCAATGGAACTGAATAGAAAGTCCAGAAACAAAAACTAATACACATGAGATTAGTGTTTGAGAAACTGAAGCCTAAAATATAGCAAGAAAGGGAATGCTTATTTAATAGACTGTTGGAAAAATTGAATGTGGTGAAAAATGGGTTAATATCATATACCACAACCACCTCTGATTGGATTAATCATGTAATTATTTTTTAAATCACATAAAATTTAGAAAAGGAATAGCATATTAATCTCAACTGCTACAGGGAGGAACAAATTTATTGGCAAATAGGGAAAATATTGGAGACAAAATTGAGGGAGCTGATCATATGAAGATAAAAAGATTTTGCATGATAAAGTAATATCTCTAAAATGAAAGGGGAATGGATTAGGAAAAAATATTCATGGTAAATAGATCTGATAAAAATCTGACATACAACATTTATAAGGAACTAATACTGACTTATTTATAAGAGTAAATTCATTTATAGGAATATCCCTACATTGATACATTTCTTCAAATGGAGAAATTATCAAAGGAGATGCTAAGGCAGGTTTTAAAGAAGAAATATAAATTGTTAATAACCAAATAATAATACATTTGAACTAATAATCGAGAAAACAAAAACCAAAACTTAAAGAAACCACCTTCACTACCATACAATTAGCAAAAATAGCTCAAAACAATGATATTCAGTGATGGGGTGATGGGACCTGGACCTCTAAAAGGAAAAGACCATGTCTTTGAGAGCAACCCAGATCTCATCATCTATCATTCAACGTTGGAAAGAGGACCTCTACTGTATTACCAATGGCATTATAGATGCAGGGGTGGGGAACCTGTGGCCTTGAGGCCACGTGTGGCCTTCTCAGTCCTTGGGTGCAGCCTTTTGACTGAGCCCAAGTTTTACAGAACAAATCCTTTTATTAAGGGGATTTGTTCTGTGAAGTTTGGATTCAGTCAGAGGGCCACACTTGAGGACCTAGACGGCCACATGTAGCCTCGAGGCCGAAGGTTCCCCACCCCAGATAGCTTTTTGGTGAGAAATCCGGCTACATACAATAAGGCAGCTGGTTATGATCTCTTTGACCCAAATCATTCTACTCCTGTGACTTTTTCTTACAGATGTTATTTAAAGAAAAAAAAAAGGAGGGGCACCCATTTCTATGAAAACATCTTTATTTGTAAAAGACAAAAACTGGAAAGAACCCATCTGTCCAGAATGACTGGGAAAATTGTGGTGTGTGAATATAATGGTATATTATTGCAGCATAAATGATAAATGGGAAGAACTCAAAGATATATGGAAAGATTTTCACGAAGTGATGCAAAGCTAGGTCAGAGAATGAAACAAACACATTTTAAAATACCAACAAGAGTAACGAAATTTTGTAAGTACACAGATGGAGAAGGGATTGGAAGGAGATACAGAACAAATCAATTACTTGCTATTATTTTGTTAAATTTTATATTTTTCTAAGCAAAATGTAAATAATTTGGATTTTAAGAATTTGTTTAGAGATCTTTTCCATATTTTGATTATTTGTGAATTTTATGTGCTTGAGAGTATTACTAAATTTATAGGAATAAAAAGTGAAATTAAACATAATCTTGCCTTATCTCCAGAGGGTTCCCTCAAAAGCAAGTATGTGAAACTTCTTCATCTTGTATTTTTTCAATATTTTTATTTTAAATGTATTATTATTATTATTATTTTATTTTTAAACTATTCACTTGCCACTAATTACTTCTTGCCCGGGGCGGGTCTGCAGATTGCTTTTACAAATCTTGTCTTAGGAAACAGTAGAGACTAGAGGAGGCATGCACAAAAGCCCTTACCTCGCAAGAGGTAATGAGGAGCACTGGAAGGAGCCTCGAGTCGAATCAGAGGATGTGGGTTCAGATCGTGGCTCTGCCTCTTTTACTCCCTTTGTGACCTTGGGCAAGTATTTCACTTCTCCAGGCTTCTGTTTCCCCATTCATAAAACAAGGGGGTTGGACCACATGATCTCAAAGGGTCCCTCAGACTCGGCATCTAGGATCATTTGATTTGCCAATTTTTTTCTTAGGACTTTAGCCCTAACTTCCGTTTTTGTTTCGCCGCATATGCAAATAGAGGCCGATGTCTTTCAGTAGGGAGGCTCCGTTCGGGATGGGAACCATACTTTCAGTCACAGAATCAGGGGTTCTGGGTATATCAAGTGCTCTGCCACTAACGAGCTATGTGACTTTAGCAAAGTCATCTCGGCTCTTTGGGCCTGAGTGCCTTCCTTTGTAAAATGGGAATGGGGACAGGTTGCACTAGATGAGATCATAGGTATAGGAAGACCTGAGTTCAAATCCAGCCTTGGACACTTACTAGCTGTGTGACCCCGAGCAAGTCACATAACCACTGTCTGCCTCAGTTTCCTCAAATTGGCTTGTTATGAGGATAAAATGAGGTAATATTTGTAAAGCACTTTTCAAACCCTAAAGTTCTATGTAAATTCTAGTTATTATTATTTATAACTGGGAGTCAGAAGCCATTAAGTTTAACTCCCTTATTTTACAGATGAGGAAATAGACACAGAAAGGCCAAGACATTTGCCTAGGGTCATATACCTAGTAAAATGGCTGAGGCAGAATTTGAACTCGGATCTTCTTGGCTGCAACTCTCAATCACTACAACTAGCTGCCTCCCATGTCTCTTTCAGTTCTGACATTCTGCAATCTTTGTAGATCCATAAGATTTGGAGCTAAGAGGGTGCTTAGCCATGATCTTGGTCAATCCTTCATTGTATAAGTGAAGCTCCATCCTAGTTTGTGGAGGTAAAGGCAGAAGGGTTAGCAGCTGAATCGTGAAAGAAAGGGCCTCTGAGACCCGAGCCACAGACCACACTGCCTCATATCATCATGTATTTACTGAATGTCAACAAGATCCTTTCAAGGTGACACAGCCCTTTGTCTGATGGGGCGACAATTTGGGGCAAGATAAAATGGTGTGAAGAGCATCCAGTGGTGGCTGTTCCCTGACTCCAGAGCAGGAGAGAATTGTGATAATCCAAGGGGTGAGTGCCCTTGCTGCCCTGCAGCTAGCCATAGGAGTATCATTAGCTGTAGGCTGAAAGATAAAACTGGATAGGTCTCAATGCTAAATAGTCATTAAGTGAGGACTCTGTTGAGCTACAGGAGAAATCCCAGAGCAGAAAAGGGGCCAGAAATATTAATGTCATGGTGATGTGGGGAAGAAGCGATGCCAGGCCTGGGGTTCTGAGGTCTCCAGATCACTGACAGGTGGCCATGGCTGGAGGACTACGAAAGGCTTTTCACAGCGCCATCATACCCTCAAAAGAAGTCTGAGTCTACTGTTCTAGGGAGAGGAGGAAGAAAAAGGAAAAAGATTAAAGAGAAGAGGGGAGGAGAAAGGAGAAAAAGGAGAGGGGAGAGAGAAAGAGGAGAGAAAAGAGAGAAAGATGGAAGAAGAGAATGAAAGAGAGGAAAGGGGAGGAGAGAGAGGAAAGAATGAGAAAGGAAGAGAGAAGGGGTAAAGAGAGGGGAGGAAGAGTGAGAAATGAGAGAGAAGAGGGAAAGTAGAGAAATGGGGGAGATAGGAGAAAGAGAAGAGAGAAAAGGGGAGGGGAGAGAAAAGAAAGAAAGAAGGGATAGGGAAAGGGAAAGAGAGAGGACAATTGAGAAGATAAAAAAAGGAAAGAGAGAAAGAGGAGAAAAGAGGGAGGAGGAAAGAAAGGGAAGAAGAGAGAAGAAGATGAGAGACATACTCAGACAAAGGCCAGGTGTCAAGGTCTATAGGTTAAGTGGATAGAAAGGACGGGAGTTTATAGGGTGGGGGTGGGGGCTACAGTTTAGCGTTTGTGTTTTGGAATGTCAAGGTTTGCAAAGAAGCAGAGAATCTGAGAGTTGAGAAGGCCCTCGGGAGTTGCCTAGTACAATTGTGTTGGAAAGTTTGGGGTTCCTGGTTTCTTTCCAAATAGAAATTCTTAAAAAATTCAACAAAACAAAATAACCAAACGAACCCAAAATGTTCATCT